GCTTTGGCTCAAGTGGTAGGGCGCTAGCCTTAAGCTGAAGAGCTGAGGGACAGTGCTCAGGCCCAGAGTTCAGGCCCCATGACCGACAAAAAAAAAACCAACAACAAAAAATAATCTTTTGTAGTAGAATTTAATTTTTTGAAGGTTTAATTTTTACTTTTAACATTTAATTCTTTTCCATAGATGGATGAAACTGAAATAAGAAGTTTCTTTGCTAGATATGGTTCAGTAAAAGAAGTGAAGATAATCACTGATCGAACTGGTGTGTCCAAAGGGTGAGTAAAACATGTTCACTCTATAGAAAATATATTCTCTACAGTATCAGAAAGGAATGAAAAACTCACTGTGAAAGATATTGGTTTGTGAATTTATTTCAAACTAAAGAGTTTGTCAGCTCTTGAATTTCATTGCTTTTCTAATGTTTTCAGTATTTTCTATGTTTATCTCACTTAAGTAGATTGATGTATTTTATTAAAAAATTGTTTTCACAGTACCTTAAATTTTAGTTATCGTGCCTTAGATATTAGGTTAAATTCAGGTTCATAGACACAAATTGTTAATTAAGGTCCCATGCCACCCTAACCGTAGCACATTCTGACATAGACTAGGTTAAGAACAATAAAAAACAGTAATACTTACAAAGATCTCTTATGCATATCTTATATTATCACGCAAAATATATTTACCATTTTCACTTCTTTGTGTATGTGTGTGTGCTTGCAAATCTAGAGCTTGAATTTAGGGCCTGGGCTCTGTCCCTAAGTTTCTTTTGCTCAAGGCTAGCTTTCTACCACTTGAGCCACAGCTCCACTTCTGGCTTCTTTAGTAGGTTAGTGTAGATAAGAGTCTTACATAAAATAAAAAGTAAGATAATTTACTTTTGTGGTGTTTTTTATTCATATTTTCCCCCTCTTGTCACTTTTTTATTTCTATACCTTTGGTCTTATATGTAAGTTTATCTGATTTGGGGAGGATAAGGGGAAGCACAGAAAGGACAAAGCAGTGATACTCATTAGACATTGTTAAAAATGAACCATACAACTTGTGGGAGAGGGGGAAAACTGGGAGAAAATGAAGGAAGAGGTGACACTGTTCGAAAAGAAATGAACTCATCTGACTTACGAAACTGCAACCTCTCTATATCACCTTTACAATAAAAATTTACATACAATACAAAAGGCACAGAAGTAAAAAATAGCAGTTTATGTGATTGGAGGAGGGGAAGGAGAAGGACAAAGGGTAAACTAGTTGATACTTACTATACACTATGATGAAAATGACCTATACTAGTTGGGGGGAGTGAGGGATAAAACTTGGGGAAAAATGAGGAAAGAGGTGACACTGTTCAAAAAGAAATGTGCTAGTCGTTATGTCGAAAAACAAACTTTACAACTTGGGGTGGGGTGGGGAGTGGAGATGGGAAGGGGAAACAAAGGAGGAAGCAACAATGCTTGATAAAAAATGTACTCATTATCTTGCCCATGTAATTGAAACCCCTCTGTACGGTATTTTCATAATAAAAAAATTGTTCTCGGTACCTGACTTAATGTACTGTAACCCCTCTGTACATCACTTTTACAATAAAAATTCTTTAAGATGCATAAACTGAAATAAAAGTGTTAAAAAGTCTTACGCACTTTACTACTCTGTCTGGCTTTGAACTGTAACCTTCACATGTCAGCCTCCTGAATAGATTACAGGCATCAGCCACTGGCACCTAGCTCATTCATTTTTTTATTAGCTTACATTAGTTATACAGAAGGAGTACATTTCCATACAAGTTTACAATACATTGTAATTAATCTCTTCCCTCAATCACTCTCCCTTCTCTTTCCTACACACTTGGATTATTTTTAAGATGCCAGATGTAAATCACAATATGGTGATTTTATGTTTTGTTTGCTTTTCTAGCTATGGCTTTGTATCATTTTATAATGACGTGGATGTGCAGAAGATAATAGAAGTAAGTAACAATCTCATGGAAAATTCATTAATACAATAGTGTTATTTAAGACCTGAATATATTTAGTCTTATGTAAAACATAAAGAAAGATAAAATTTTTCCTGTTTAAAATTAGAACCTAGTTTTTTGTAACTAGTTTCAACCTGCTTAATTGGGGGAATCTAGCTTTAGAGACAGAAAGAAGTAGAATTAAGGTAAAAGACTTCTGAATTCTACTTGATACTTGTTGACATTTTGACTAGTGTGATGGAGGCAAAGGTAGCTTCATGATTTTGAATTTTATATATACTTATTGTTGTTCTCTGATAATAGGAACTTTAGAAGACTTAGAATATTTACCCAAGTCATGGAAGTAAAGACTTAAAAAATTGTAATTCCATTGCTGGGAAGGTGGCTCAGTGGTAGAGCGCTTGCCTTGCATGCATGAGGCCCTGGGTTTGATTCCTCAGCACCACAGAAGCAAAAAGAAAAAAGCCAGAAGTGGCTCTGTGGCTCAAGTGGTAGAGCGCTAGCTTTGAGCTGAAGAGCTGAGGGACAGTGCCCAGGCCCAGAGTTCAGGCCCCACGACCAGACCCCAAAAAAAAAAATTGTAATTCCAATATTGCTATGTTTTTAGTCACAGATAAATTTCCATGGTAAAAAGCTGAAACTGGGCCCTGCAATCAGGAAACAAAATTTATGTGAGTAAAAAAAAGATAATTGTTCTTGCTAAAACATGTTGAATATTCCACAGAACTAAATTTTTTTTATTTTTTAAAAAGGTGCTTATCATGTGCAGCCACGTCCTTTGATTTTTAATCCTCCTCCTCCACCACAGTTTCAGAGTGTTTGGAGTAACCCAAACACTGAAACTTACATGCCACCTCCAACTATGATGAATCCTATAACTCAGTATGTTCAGGTAAGAATTGCCTACATTTCTGTAGTCTTTCATTATCATCTTATATCCTCTGAAGTGATACCCACTGTTTCTCTACTCATTAATAATACAATACCTATTGGAATATTTTGAGTAATAGGAAATATGTTGCTTGTGTTAAAAAATATCTCAGTCTTAAGCAGGAACCTGAGTTTGGGTTCTGGCATTTATATGGGGACTGGTTAATATTAAAACTGGGATTTAGTGTACGTACTGTTGCTTATTGATGATAAGTAACATTTTATTTTCTTCCTAGTTAATTTTACTTTCTTCAGTTCCAAAGACCTTTTCTTTATCAGAAAAGAAACAGAAATAGTTCTAGAATCTTTGTCTTATTACATTTCCTATTACATTTCCCATTTCCTGAGGTGTAAAATACATTTTATTTTTCTCTATAAATAATGACTAGAAGAAAAGTCCTACTGTGTCCTATAAATCATTATTGATTATTTTCATGTTTGCTACTACTTACATGCCTTTAATCAATAAACAATGAATCATGAGACATCAGCCTGTCCAGTTTCAGATTATACTATCCTTAATCTCTAGACATCAATACAGAAAAGAAGCCATAAAGACTTTAGTACTACAGATTTCCAACTGGTGCTGTTAAGAAACACAAAGCTACCTGAAAGTATTTTTATAAAGAAACAGTAGATTTATTAAATTTAAATAGAAATCTGTCCTGCCTTATTACCAGTGTAAGATGAACTCCTGGATGGGGATAAATATACTAATAAGACTTGTCATATCAATTACTTAGCTTGTCCCTTAACCTTCTTCCTCCCCACCTAAAAAGCTACCCCTTGAGAGAGCTGATGGTTTTATTTATGAAGCTAGTCACTTATTTGGAATTCTGTATTGTATGATTTTTAAATTTTTTCATTTTTATTACATTATAAAATTACAATTTAAAATAATAATTTAAAATTTTTAAACAGTCAGGAGCCAGTGGCTCAAGCCTGTAATACTATCCACTCAGAAGGCTGAAATCTGAGGAACACAGTTCATTGCCAACCTAGGGAGGAAAGTCAGTGAGATTCTTACCTCCAATAAACTACCCTTTCCTACCCTACCCCCTCCCAAAAAAAAAAAGTTGGAAGTAGAGCTCTGGCTCAAGTGGTAGAACACTAGCCTGGAGCAAAAGAAGCTCAAGGATGAGCACCCTGTGGTTCACACCTGTCATTCTAGCTACTCAGGAGGCTAAGATCTGATCTCTAGCTGAAGTCAGCCCAGGCAGAAAAGTTTGTGAGACTCTTATCTCTAATTAACCACCAAAGTACCAAAGTGAAGCTGTAGCTCAAATGGAAGAGCACCAGCCAGGAGCGAAAATGGTCAGAGAAAGCTCCTAGAACCAACATACACCTACACAAAATTAAACAACTTTTTAAATATTTATCTTAGTTCATTATTTCTGTAAACTTCATTTTTAGGCATATCCTCCTTACCCAAGTTCACCAGTTCAAGTCATCACTGGATATCAACTACCTGTTTATAATTATCAGGTAATTAAAAACAGAATAACTTTGGGGTATTATTGTTGTTTTTAGTTGTATACATTTTCCAAATAATTTGTTGTTTAAACTAGTAAAGTATACCTAAAATGAAAGGAAAATAGAATTAATATAGAATTAGACATATGAAGTGATATTTTGACCAGGAAAAATACCTTTCTAGAATTGTTTCCTAGGATTTGTTACCTCCTTTTCCATTTCAACATGTATTCTTCTATTGCCATCAGCTGAAACACCCAGTATAACTTAAAAACTTTTCTGGAATGATAGATTGAAATATTCTTCTATTGCCATCAGCTGAAACACCCAGTATAACTTAAAAACTTTTCTGGAATGATAGATTGAAATGAGATTATCCAAACCAGGGGTAATGGCTCAAGACTGTAATGTTAGTTTAGAGGCAGAAAGGGAGGTTTGAAGCCAACCCAGTTCTCAGGACGGACCCCTGTCTTAACCAATGGCTGGACTCAATGTTACCCAGTTTGTTAGAACACAGTAATTATATAGTTGATGGTGTTTGTTTTGTTTGTTGGTAGTGGTGATTGTGGGACTTGAACTCAGGGCCTGGGAGCTGTCACTAGGAGTTTTTCTGCTTAATGATAATACTCTACCACTTTGAGTCACAGTTCTACTCCCAGATTTTAGGTGATGAGTCTTTCAGACTTTCCTGCCAGGGATGGCCTTGAACCACAATCCTCAGATCTCAGTCTCCTGAGTGGCTAGGATTACAAATATGAGCCATCAGCACCCAGCTGTTAGTGTTTATTTTGCTAGATGCTACAAACTAATGAGCCTGAATTTTTTCCCATAGATAGGACATAATTAAATGGCTTATGACCATAAATATCTGTGATAATAATTTCAAAGTACAACTATCTTTTAAGTTTTTCTGTCAGCTTCTACTTTTAAAAAATGGGGGTTATATGTGAAAGTATCTAAAAGAATTAAGTACTAGAAACAGAGTACCTCATTTTGTTCTATTTAGAAATGTAGAGTACCTTGTTTTGTTTTATTATCACCACAAAGGAGTAACTATGCTAAATAATTGAATATTTTATATCCTATCTTTGTAAAAATATATGGATAAATATGAATTAATTTCTGTTTTTTTTTGAAGATACAACCACAGTGGCCTACTGGGGAACAAAGGAGTTATGTTATACCTCCGGTAAAACTTCATCTTTGTAAACTAAGAGTTTTTCCTTGTGTATTTTTTGTCTTACTATTTTGTGCCTGTCTACAAAAATTTTGAAATGCTTCTGTGTTTCATCAGGATTGGGTATTTGGTGAATATGTTACGAGTTACAATTCTCAGGTACTCCCTTACTACATATTACAGCAATAAGGTTTTTCGGATTTCTTATAATTCTGATTATCCTTATCACTTGTGATTATGTTGACACTTAGAAGTAAATAAAGGACTGCATTTCTGCCATTCAATTAAAAAGTTTCTGAAATAATGGTTATAGTTTATGTTAAAGCTTTAAATACCGGCTCTATATTTTAAAGAATAGATTGCTTAGAAATGTATCCATATATCTTTAATTATGATTTTATTATTTTTAAATGTAGGCTTATACAGCTGTTAACTACCACTGTAATGAAGTTGATCCAGGAACTGAAGTTATGGCAAATGAATGCTCAGTTCATGAAGCTACTCCATCCTCTGGAAATGGCCCACAAAAGGCAAAACTCCCATTTTCCTTTACTGATACTTAGATATTAGATTTACTTTCTAAATGTTAATAATGGCTTCTTGAAAAATAGGTATACTTGCTTAGATATTAAGGTGAAAACATAAGCTAAAAAGAGAGTTTTAAGAATTGACTAATACTCCACAATTAATGTTAAGGCTAATGAAATTTCAGATACCCTGAAACTTTTTAAGTATGCAGACGTTTGGGGTATTTTAATTAATTAATTTATTTTTGTCTGTAGTGGGGCTTGAACTCTGAGCCTGGGTGATGTCCCTGCACTCTTCTGCTCAAGGCAAGCGCCCTACTGCTTGAGCCACAGCACTACTTCCAGTTTTCTAGTGGTTTATTGGAGATAAGAATCTCACAGATGTTCCTGCCCGGGCTGGCTTTGAACCTCGATCCTCAGATCTCAGCCTCCTGAGTAACTAGGATTACAGGCATTAGCTACCCGCACCCAGCTGGGGTATTTTTTGATGCTAATACTGGGTTTGAATTCAGGTCTCAGGTTCTTGTATATTTGCTTGCTTGGTTTTCTTGCTCAAAAGCCTGCTGCTTGAGCCACACCTACAATATGGCATTTAATTGGAGTAGAGTTTTGACTTTTCTTCCCAGGCTGGCTTCAAACCAGGATCTTCCAAGTCTCCACCTATTGAGTAGCTAGGATTATAAGTATGAACCACCAGTACCCAACATGTATATATTGTTTTTAATTCAACCCTTTCTGTTGAATTGTTTTTAGTTTTTAGTAAATATATCACTATGCTCTGGCAGATGTAATGGGCTGGTTTCTCTAAGAATTTTATCTTTGAAAGATAATGTAATTTGTATGAATTGTATCTATTTTGTCTTTAACAGTTTAAATATTTGTTTAGCTATATAATAATACACTTTGGAATTCTCTCCATAGTGTTACATATATATAGCAGCAGTTCTTAAGAGTGTTTGAGTTAGTATACTGAAGGTAACTTGGGTCTGTACTCAGTATGCAGAGATTGGGAGGATTTCAGTTCAAGGCCCCAGTCCAGGCAAAAAACAATTCATCTCAACAAAACAAGCTGGGCATGGTGATGTACACTTATCATCTCAGCTAGATGGGAAGCCATGGGTAAGAGGATGGCCGTGGACAAAAAGCAAGGCCCTGTCTGAAAAATAGTCTAAAGTGAAAGGGATTTTGGGTATTGCTCAAGTAGTAGAGCCCTGTAATCTTCCTACCTACGGATTCCACTATAGCTTGGATTGCCACTGCAAGCCACTGTACCTACCTTATATGTTGAGATGAAATTTTAATAACCAGTATTTTTTTCTGAAAAGTAACCTAATGTGAAATGGGCTTTGGGTATTACTCAAGTGATAGAGCCCCTCCCCTATAAAAATTCTGAAACATTTCTTTAGTTTGAAGAAAACTTACATGCTAATTTACACAGAGTAAGAATTATGAATCCCATAAGAATTCTTTAGAAGTATGTGGTATATTTTCACTAAACTTTTAAAATCATTAAACAGTAAAAGGAGTGCTCTTTACCATCATTTTCTGTGTTTCAGAAATCTGTAGATCGAAGCATACAGACAGTGGTATCTTGTCTGTTTAATCCAGAGAACAGACTGAGAAACTCTCTTGTTACTCAAGATGACTACTTCAAGGTATGAAAAGAATAGTATACAGGATAAAAAGTACATATGTGAACTTCAAAGTTTCTTTTTGTTTCTTGTTGTTCACATGTCACATTTTACATGGGAATGTCATTTAAGCTACTTAAGTCTTAATGTAGAGTTTGTCTTTAGAGAAGGAAGTTTTAGAAGAAGCTTTAACTTAACAGGTTTCATAAGAGAAATCATATGAAAGAAAATACTATCTTCACCCAAATAGTAAAAAATTTTTGAAAGCAGAACTTAATATATTAATATTGAACTAAAGAAAGCAGGGTTATACCTCTAACCCTGGCTACTCAGGAGGCTAAAATCAGAATACCAGTCCCGGGAAAATGTCCTCAAGCCTCAAGACTCCCCATTTCAGTGCTGGTAGCTTACAACTATAATCCTAGCTACTTAGAAGATAGATTGAGAAGACTGTAGTTCAAGGCTCACTCAGACAAAAAAGTTTGTCAGACCATTTCTCAACTGTTAACTGGGTAATTTGGCACATGACTGTCAGGCAGAGAAGTCCACAAGACTCTTCTCAACAGCAAAGCTAGACACATTGGCATGCATCGTGGTTACCAGCAAGGATAGGAAGCCTGAAATAGGTGGATTATGGTCCAGGTGCATATCTAGTACAAGCGAGACTCTGTTTCAAAAATAACAAGGCACAACAGAGTGCCAGTAGCTCACACATATAGTCCTAACTATTCAGAGGGCTGGGATCCATTGGATGGTGTTTCAAAGTGAGTAAAGTACTGGTAAAGCACCAGTACCATCAAAACAAGTAGAAATGAAAATGTTCTGAGTTGATGAAGTGGAGGAGTTGTAGCAGTTTGAATTTTTAAAAGATCTGCTTGTAGCCACCTTGTCTTGTAAAGATTCCAGCTTCTTGTTCTCTGTTTTTTGGATTTTTGATGTATTTTTAGGTAGTAGATTTTATTATTAAACTATAATTTTAAATACTAGATTTGTTAATAATAGATTTATATGGAAATGGAGATGTGGCTCAATTTGTGTAGAGCTCCAGACTTGAGCAAAAAGCCAAGAGAATATGAAGCGCTGGAGTTGAAGTCCCAGGACTGGCCCTCTAGATACAGATAGATAATTTGGATACCATACAATCCAACCATTTAAAGTATATGGCTCTGTGGGTTATTTTAATACTGAATTATATACCTATAGCTACTATCAAATTGAGAAGATTTTAGTGACATCAAAAATAAATTCAGAAAAAAAAATAAATTCAGGAGCTTGGAGGGTAGCTCGGTGGTAGAGTGCTTGCCTTGCATGCACAAGGCCCTGGGTTCGATTCCTCAGCACCACATAAGCAGAAAAAGTCAGAAGTGGTGCTATTGCTCAAGTGGTAGAATGCTAGCCTTGAGCTGAAGAGCTGAGGGACAGAGCCCAAGCCCAGAGTTCAGGCCCCATGGCCAATAATCAATCAATCAATAAACGAATGAATGAGTGAACTCAGTAATAGTCACTCCATGGTTCCCCACAACCAATTTTGTCTGAGTAGGTCATTAAGTAGGCAATTCATTGAGCGAGAATCATACACTATGTAATCTTTCGTGACCAGCTGTTTTCAGAGTCCTAACATATTTTCAAGGTTTACTAGTGTATCATTTATAAATACACCATAATTTGCTTAGCTATTCAATAGTTGATAGATATTTGTGTTGTTTCTACTTCGTGGCCATTATTAATGATATTATGAATATTTATGTACAATTTGTTGTGAACATACTTTTATTTCTCTTAAAATGTCTACTTAGGGATTGAAGTTCTGAGTCTTAACTGTGTTGAACCTTTTGGGGAGCTGCCAGAAATTGGCCAATGTGACAGCACCATTTTACATTCAAAAGGAATTGAGCACCACTTTGTGTCTTAAAACAAGAAGGGAAAATAGCTTTGTTTAATCTAGGATGAATCTTAAAGCTTTCTAATGGATATACTAGGGACATCCAGTACTGCAGAAAAGTGGTACCATGGCAGGATGAAGTTCTTAACATCTTTGTAACAAAAAGTAAATATCTCTTTAAAACTAATGCTTGGAAAAAAAACACTAGTGTTTGTTCTTTTGTTGTTCCATTCCACATAGACAGTAAATAATTGGATGACATTTTTTGAAAGCAGAAATGATTTTTAATACCTCATCTGCTATTAGACAAAAACCTCCTTTTGAACTCCAGAGCTTTCTGCTGCTGTGCTAAGAGGCAGAAGTTGGCATCCTGTAATTGTCTAACATGTTTTAATTGACTAATGTTAATTGAAATTGAATGCATCCAGCTATTTGAATGCACTTAAAAACTATTTCCTTGCTTGATTTTACTCTTAATTATAGCCCATTAATAATTTTACATTCTGTACCTTGCCTCTGAAAATAAGACTATCTGACCACTTTTCCAGTCTTTTTAACCTAAACGGTTACCTTGCTGAGATATTTTGTAACTTTGAGAAACCACCCTTCATTAGCACCTGAATCTAATCCCTAGGAAAAAGGCACAGCTAAACTGCATAGAGAAGAAAACCCTATATTAATTCATTATTGGTTTACTCAAGCCTCTTTCCTCTTTTTAAGACCCTATTTCCTTGTAGCTGAATCTCTGAGGGCAGCATAGGAAGGAAAAGTTTGCATGTATGAGTCCTCTAGATCCATGGGTTTGTCATACTCTAATTCAACCAATTACCAAATTGAAAAATTTGTAATACTGAACACTACAGACTTGTTCTTTGCCATTATTCCTTAAATAGCAGCTAATTTACATTGTATGTTATGATAAGTAACAGATCATTTACATACAGGAGGATTATGCACATTATACCACACAATCTGTTTTTTTTTCTTTTTTCTCTCTCTCTTTTTTTTTTTTTTTTTTTGTCGGTTATGGGGCTTGAACTCTGGGCTCTGGCACTGTCCCTGAGCTCTTCAGCTCAAGGCAAGTGCTCTACCACTTGAGCCACAACGCCACTTCTAGTTTTCTGGTGGTTAATTGGAGATACAAGTCTCATGGACTTTCCTGCCCGGGCTGGCTTTAAACCGCCATCCTCAGATCTCAGCCTCCTGAGTAGCTAGGATTATAGGCCTGAGCCACCAGCACCCAGCACCACATATTCTTTAAAAGAGGCTTGATAGTAAACACCCTTGGATTTTGATGTCTATGGGGGTTCCAGAGACTAATCCTCTGAGAAAAGTTTTAAAGTTTTTCTCATTTCCTAAAATACTATTCTTAAAAATACTATTCTTAAAGAATAGGCTTTTAAAGATAATAAAGTTAGATCTTCTAGCCTAGACATAGAGGATTTCAGATTGAAGTAGAATGTTGTTCTTAAGCCATGATTTTTACTAGATGAAATTCAGTTAGTAAAAACAATAGATTGAGTCACATTTTCCACCATCTGTCTTTGGGAGCACCATTGGACAAATGATTAGGAACTTACTTAAAGGGAGTGATGTTAAGACCCATATTTCTGAGTTGACTGGGATCTTTTTTTTTAAAGAAAATTGTTTAATAATAAGCTAGTCTTACACTTACTATTATTTTTTCAAAGTTCAAGAATGCTTCCCCAGAACTATCTCCTCTTTTCTTCTTTGTTTAGAATATTTAATCCTTAATCATTGACCTTTTTTTTTTTTGGCTTGGTCATGGGGCTTGAACTCTGGGCTTCGGCACTGTCCTTGAGCCACAGCACCACTTTCAGTTCTCTGGTGGTTTATTGGAGATAAGAGTCTCATGGACTTTCCTACCTGGGCTGGCTTTGAACCATGATCCCCAGATCCTCAGCCTCCTAAGTAGCTAAGATTACAGGCGTGAGCCACTAGCACCCCGCTTGACTTTTTTTTTTTTAATGATAACGTGTGGATTGAACTGGGAGCCTTGGGCTTAGTAGGCAGGATCTCTACCACTTAAGCCCCACACCCTGCTCAATATTCAAAACTAAAATAAATATATTAGGTGTTTTGCAACTATTATAGGTTAGTAGAGGTAATAGAAAGTTTTCAGTTATGTGAAATGTCTATTTCTGTCTTTCCTAGGATAAAAGAGTACATCACTTCAGAAGAAGCCGGGCAGTGCTTAAATCTGTTTGATCCTCTCTACTAGCCTTTAGTCTCAGTGAAAGTTACTAGTTTGGGATATTAAGAAGAGACTGAAAGGTTTTCACTAGTAGAGGAATTTAAATTTTGATAAATCACTCAGACTTTCTGTACAAGTTACATTAGATTGTCTCGTTTTATTTTACATTCAAACTGTTCTTAGATGTTTATTTAGAAACTAGTTATGTGTTTAATATAGTTGAGAAAATAATTGAAAGTAAAAAATAATTGAAAAATAGTTGAAAGTAATAACTTTTAAGATCTGTAAGGATTTTTATTGAAATTGGCATTTTAAAAGTTTAAAAGCAAAAAACTAATTTTCAAAACATTGTTTTAACATTTTTATTTTGAAAGGTCAGAATTTTGCTAGTCTGAATACAAACATTTCACTTCTCCAACAAGTACCTGTGAACAGTACAGTATTACAGTATTGTGCCTTGCATTTATTATTTGTCTAAAAATTTACCACAAAGCAGAATTTTAAAACTGCACTTATAATCAGTGGAACTCAATGTACAGTTAGCTCTTGAACTAACTTATCTAAACCCAGTAAGACAAGATTCTAAACAGTCCAATCAGTGGGTGCGTTTATTCAAAATATTTTATCCTTTATGTAGAGTCCACACATATATTCATATATATCCTATTTATTTGATTGGAATAGTAATTAGGATAACCAAAATTCTGGGCCTAATTTTGTTTAGAGAATCCAAGACAAACTAAACTTTACTAAATATACCGGCTTCTTAGTGAATTTTAACATTCTCCTTTTTTATTTTTTTTTCTTGAAATGCTGAACTCAATGGCTGTATCTTAAATTGTGAAAAATATTGGTATTAAAGAATGCTGAAATTTTTTATGTCATTTACTAGGTTAATCAGAGTATCTGAAAGGAATTGTTTTTATAAAAACTTTAAAAAATATTAGTTGTTAAAAGAGTAAATCGATTTGTATTTTTGTTTGTTAGCCTATCATATTTCCTTTTGTAAAGTACGTCCAGAAAAGTCAGTGGTAGGTAGTTTTGGCATTTCTTAACCACACAAATTGTTTTATAAGCCTGTCTCAATGTGCTACAGTTTCTAGATTAGCTTATTTTCTTTATTGGCATTGTGCATTCATTGTAATATTCAGCCTAGAGCACCAGAGACCCTTTTGTACCCCCAGGCTTGTTTTCCCAGTGTCTGCTTCTGTTCTTCTAGGATATTTGCTCCTAGAACTGGTGGTATAAAGAAGGCAAGTAGCAGTATGAGTAGTTCAAGGGTTGAGCCTTGAAAAAGTACTAGTGGAACAATACCTTTCTAGGGAAACAGTTGTTTCAGCATCAATTGATCTGCCATGGACATGAGTTTAAAGAGCTTTGTTGGCCTTTCTTCCCTAAAATGTGGAGACTCCACTTGCCCCTAACCTAATGTAACCATCATGGGTCATATCACCAGTACCCATTATGGTCTGTAATTAGTAATTTTCTAAATGGAGCTGAAGAGCAGAGTATTTCTGAGCTCCCCAAGAGGGTTTTCTTACACCTCAGTATTAGAACGTGTCCTAAAATTTGTCCTTTTAAAAAGTATCTGTTCTTTTGGGGCGTATTATAAAATTCTTACATATATGTAATCTGTGATTAAATCTTCAGCTTACCTAAATTCTGATACCTAAATTCTGAAGAGCCAATTTTAATTTTCCCAATAGGACCTTAAGGAAAAGTAAGGAAATAAACTTATTTGTTTGCTATTTTGTTGGATGAAAGTATTTAAGGGTAAGGTAGAAAAAGACAAAGAAATCCTGAACCTTTCAAAATGGAAGATTAATTTTAAGCTTAGAATATGTTCCTATTGTGTATTGCCGAGACTGTCTTCATGTAAATGAATAAAGAAGGTTTTGTTCAAAGTTTTTTTTATCTCCTTGATGTTATATTTTCTAAAGTGGTGGGGCATTGGGGTGGGTAGTTCCATGTCATGTTTAAATTCTCAAAATTCATTAGTATAAATATTGCTCAGTTCGCTAAACCAGCAGAGTTGACTTAGAAAAGCATTTTGGCATATTCTATTTTCTTTGATAAGAAGTGAAGTAATGTATATGTACCTGTTCTGCCTACACATGCATATACCTGTGTAGGCATATGTATCTTAACACATTTTTATGGAAAAAAAGTCCATGTTGAGTTGGAAATGGTGAACAGTACACCCCATTGTGGTAAATGAACAAAGTAGTAGTGCCCAGTTAAAATGCTATAGAAGACATCTGACTATTCTCAATCCTGTGGTCAAGGTCCCTTTAATTTTGGGGCAGAATATGAAATACTTTGTCTTCTGCACTCTTTGGGGCTGTTGATCTTTCTAGACCTTTGGTTTGGGTATTATTGTTCTCCCATTGAATTTAGATTCCTTATCTTGCATTTGTTTCATATCTAAAGCTATATCCAGAGGATCAGTAATCACCATCTCTTCCCGTTTTAGTCCCAGTACTTTCAGTTGTATGAGCTGAAGCCATGGGTGAAGAAATTCTCTCCATCAGACACTTTCATCAGTTGATACATTTGAATAAACAGATTGATTGCCAGAAAATACATTGTAACACCATGAATCTACAAGGCACAGAAAAGTAATAACTTCTGAGTCACTGGGAATTACATGTTGGTGTTTAGTGTATAGTTGCTGAATATTAGTAATCCTTAAAATACAAAGAAGTATATGTGTGCTCTGTGTGTCTACCCATACTAACAATTATCCCAAGTAAGATCTGTAACCAGGCTGAATTAAGTTTCAGTGTTTTAAGGTTCCCCCAGACTATACCACATGCTCCTTAAAATAGCTGCTTAATAGTATTTCAAACATTTTGAAAATCCTCAATACAAAAGGTATTTGGGATTAAGAATTCTCTGTATCATGCTAGGCACAGGTGGCTCATGCCTGTAATTCTAGCTACTCAGGAGACAGATCTGAGGATTGTTGTTCAAAACCATCCCAGGCAGGAAAGACTTGTGAGACTCTTACTTCCAATTAGCCACCAGAAAACCAGAAGTGGTGGTGTAGCTCAAAGTGGTAGAGCAGTAGCCTTGAGCTGAAGAGCTCAAGGACAGGTCCCAAACCAAGAGTTCAAGCCCCACTACTGACCCCCCTACCTCAAAAAAAGCTATGTATCTTTAGTTAAAATTTGAAATTACAAAATTGTAAGGAGATGGATCATGCTTTTCTTCTGTCAAAATCACAATTATTTAATATTAATAGCACCCTTATCATAATTCATAGACTTTGTTAGGTACATGGCTCTACCACTTGAGCCAGGTCTAGTCCAGAAGTCAGGTACACTGTGTGGAATATGAACTATGCAATTTGTGGGCAGGGACAGAAGAGGGAAATGAAGGAAGGAATGACATTATCCAGAAACAATTGTACTTACTACCTGACGTAAAATGATAACTCCTAATAAATAATTATATTTTAAAAAATAAGAGTATTAGTCCAGTCTGTCCTCTAATTCTCTTGGTTGTTCTTAAATGCATAAAAACAGAGTGGCACATTGCATAATTGGTTTGCCTGCTTTTATTGCTACTGTTTGAGAGTAATAAGGAGCAGCAGCAGTAAGGCAGCATGCCACTCAACAAAGCAACAGAGAAGGTGGGAGCCATAGGAGGGAGAAACATGGCAATGTTTTCCATTGACTCAGTCTTTGAAATAGAGCCAGCTGTTGAGTAAGACCATTTGGAATCTCTGAAACACTTATAGATAGATGAGGATTGCTCCTATACACATTTGATAACTGTAATCCAGCCCTTCCCAACATTATGTATAATATGTCTCTCTGTGTGTAACTGATTCTTGTGAGCAATTCCTTACCACCCATCAAAGATTCTAGTTTTCCATCTGTAGACAGTACATTTGGTGGTAGAAAACAATAAACACAAGAAGTTCTTACTATAAACGTGTTTTTCAATGTTCATGCAAAATATTCAATCTGCATAGCAAAGAAATGATAGGTAATTCTGCATTGCATTTAGTGTTAAAAACATCTGTCCCAATATGACTAGCTATAGGCCAATCCCAAGAAAATTCAAAAAAAACCTGTCTCCTGATAAAGAAGTTGAAATTACCACTATACAATTAAATTGTATGGTAGTCATATTTTATATTTTTAATTGGTCTGTAAAAGAAAGTTTGCTAGTTGAGTCTAGTTCATTTTCCCAAGGCAAGGCTCTGTCAATGTGTACCTCCATTAAGGCTGCATGCCAGAAATAGGCCTTTTCCCATGTATAAACTCCCAGATACCAGTTCACTAGGTCTTTAACAAAAGAACAAATGCTTGCATGACTCAGGTGTTCAGGTCATGGAAACTTCATCAATTTGAAGCAATAGTAGCACTTTAAGTAGTTCAGGAACTTGGAAGCTTTATAGCCCTTAATTAGTTCCTTTCTTACAGAAAAGAAATCTACCAAAAATACATTAAGGCTGTAATCACACCTACTGTCTCACTCTCCTCTCCCCCAGTAAAATGAATAGATAACACTATTCTATTTCAATATTGGATGAAATATTTATTATAGAAGGCAGAGCTGAAGATCCCCAGTAATGCAGTCAGTCCAAAAGTTTGCAATAGACATGTCCTTTCTGACTGTAGAATTGGTAGGCGTTCTTTGCATTACTTCTGCCTGGGCCAATGAGTACAGAAAGGCAATGTAAAATAGAGGCTATTTTCTCATTTTTACCTGTGCTGACCTGTTACTTAGTGTTTTGGATGCTTCCTTACATAAGTAAAATCCACACAGGACACCTGCCATGCTATAAAAGATTTAACTGCCCCTTTTTAACCCTGAACATGGCTTGGTTGCTGCTCATATTGTGGTTGGTAGTATGTCTGTTTTTGACAATATATGATTAAATCAGACCCGTCTTTGACAGGCAAGTTTCCTCAGTAATATCAATCTCACAGAGAAATCAAATAGCAACATGACATTCCTAGGAATGTGACACCTGTAATCCTAGTTACTCAGCAGGCTGAGATCTAAAGGTTCAAAGCCAGCCCAGGCAGGAAAGTGAGTCTGATTCCCAATTAATCACCAAAAGACTAGAAGTGAGCCGGGCGCTGGTGGCTCACGCCTGTAATCCTAGCTACTCAGGAGGCTGAGATCTGAGGATTGCGGTTCAAAGCCAGCCCGGGCAAGAGAGACTGTGAGACTCCTATCTCCAATAAACCACCAGAAAACCGGAAGTGGCGCTGTAGCTCAAGTGGTA